CAAGTCCATGAGCGGGCAGGTGCTTAACACAGTTGTGCGAGGGAGACAAGGGTGGGTGGGTGTTTGTGTGTGTGGGGGGGTGGGGGGCAACAGAGTTTTGCAACAAGACCCCTACTGCAATTGCAACAAGGGTTGCAATGGCGATCGATCAGGTACTGGCGGAGATGTTTTTTGCAACAAGGATCATGTTGCAAAGGGGCTTTTTCAACAACATCCATATTGCAAAGGACTTGGCAAGTCATTCGAGGGCTTCGTGACAACATCTGTGTTGCAAAAGAGGCTTTTTGCAACAACATCCCCACCGCTCCTGTTTCAAGGAATTGTAACAAAGGTTGTGTTGCAAAGGGGTTTGCACAACATGCTCGTTGTTGCAAAGTAATGTGGCTATAGGATGAGATTAGATGGTTGCGAAACTCGTCATCCAATCGCTCATAAGGCGGCAGATCTTTTAAAAGCCGGCCGACACGTAGCAACCCTAAGCCAGAGTTGAAACAACCTTCTACACTAGTTCAAAAGTCTCATAAAATTTGTTGATTTACTTGGGCGATGGATGCTTTTGTTGTACGCAAATCGTATAGATACACGATGATCTCAACCAATGAGAAGATGCATGCGTAAGAAGATGGGAGCTGTAGTTCATCTGTGGCATGCGTCAAGGCATTGGCTAATTCCGGGTTCTTTATGCTTTTAGCTGGCTTGTGCACGTGACGGGCTTGTTCATATCTTTTGAGTGGTTTCTGCTATCAATAAACGACATGTATGATGTTGGGTTTTGTATTGTACCGGCTAGTTAGTCCCAGCTGGATCCCCCGTTCTTCTTATAGAAGCAGGGTTGTCTTGGCCTTTTTCTCTAAACATGCTAGGAATTCATTCATTTCACCCCACAACTATTCCTTGAGTCCAACTTTGGTCCAATAATTTGAATATGAATAACATAAACCCCAACTATTAAAACTATATAACTTTGTTCCCTTTCTCCCCGACGTTTCATTTTTCTCGAATACACATAGCATGCATATGATATATGTTGAGAGAGAGAGAGAGACAGAGAAAGGGTACAAGAGCCCTCCACCGAGGGTGTTACAACACACCCGTCCACTCCACACTAACACACAAATCTATGTCTCATTCGACACCCACATTTGAATCCACGAGAAGAGGATATCTAAACCCGGTGATCTCTACAATCCCGCCATCCTCCAAGCTCTACCCTCAACAAGAACCCTGCCTAGCAACCACTGCAAAGATGGCGATTCACCATAAAAAACAATGCCATTCCAGTGCTTCCACAACTCCCAAAAGGCCAGTGTGAGCAAAGCTCGCAAATCCTTGTCATGCATGCCTTGGACGCACTTGCCAGGATCCAAATAGGGAGGGTGCTTGTCTGCGTGGGGGTCTAGTCCGGCTTGTCCAAAGTTGTGCACAGCTGTAACCAGAAGGCTCTCGTGAAGACGCATTGCAACATGATATGACTTATGGTTTCATCCTCCTGGTTGCAACGTGGGCAAGTATCCTGATGCGGCAGTCCACGTCTAGCCAAACGATCGGAGGTCTAACAACGGTTCTTCATGGCGAGCCAAACAAAGAACCGACACTGCAGGGGGGGGGTGTCTAGACTTCCACGTGAAATCAGCCATGGGGGCAAGTTGTCTTCCCATGAACAACGTTGCGTACGCCGATCGAGCAGTGTAAGCGCCACCCGGCTCCCAAGCCCACTTGATGACATCCGGAATCCCAACTTGTGTTTGTATGTTTCCATCGCGTTGCCATAATACCATGAACTCCATGAGGGTCGGTGCATCCATGTCCGGCCCCACGTCGTTGCCCACATCCATTCTCCAAGGCCTCATGCATACATAGTTGTGAGCGCACACGAGGGATACCATTCTCCCCGACGTTGAAGTACTTTGATGGATGACACAACGGTGACTTTGCACACGTGAAAGCACAGTAAAAAAATGTTTTCTGGAAGAATAGCAAATAAATGAATAAGGAAGAAACTTACTGCAAAACATGAAAACAAGAATATGAAGACAAACTATTGTACAGAGAACTTAAGAAATATGGAAAATATGGAATTTTAAAAATAGAAAAGGATTCCTAGGAATGTTCATGAACGAACACGAATTATGGTTGAGTACATTGCTTACTTTTTATTTTTTTGCATTATAAACTATAAACTATGATTTTAAAAACGGTATTTATGTTTTCATTTATAGGAGTCACATATTTCTCTAGCTTATATAGAACATTTTTATGGTATCCCTTAAAAAGGTACATTGTCATGTATTTCCTTTCTCTTCTACTAGTCTACTAGAGAATTCCATTACAAGAGCAAACTAAAAGCAGGGCCAGGAATACACGATGATTTACACTAAACACCTCTAGGCCCGAAGAGTTGCAGCCCTGAGGGGCAGGAGGGGCAATTTCACAAACATGCGCGGCTCGTTCCTTTTTTCTTTCTTTATAAATACGGTTCGTGTATTGGCCGAGGGGGAGGTGCCGCTAGCTGGATCCCAGCGATCCTATAAAAAGGTGCCAATCGCCCCCACCCCGACCTGCACACATCGCTCGTGCTCTCAAACAAGAGTGCGAGTTCGAGGCATGACGGCCCTGCTGCATGTTGCATGAGGTACCACCCCCCTTCCCCCCTCTCTCCCTCCCTAGTGTGTTCTGTTCTGCTAGTCTGTTGCAGTCCCCTCCCATCCCCCGGACTCATCTCCTCTCTTGTTATCACCAGCCGGCCGGAGTCGGATCCCATTGCAGCAACGAGCCCAGAGCAGCGCGAGGCGGCGACCGATCTGGGTGAGTTGTTCATCCGTACCACGTTCCTTTTTTTTTCTCTCGTTTCGCCTGTGCGGCGCCGCCGCCTCGTTTGGATGGATCCCGGCCGGCGGGCAGGGCGGTTCCCGCCGATCTCATCGGGGACTAGTAGATTAGATTGGCAGCAGTAGTTCCGATGCCGGGGGCATGGCGTGACCAGGGTGGCCGGTCCGTATGGGCCGTGAACGCCATCACGATCCGGCCTTCTCCGGGTCTTGTAATCGCATTCGATTTCTGTTGTAGAGATTTTTTTTTTGGCTAAGCTTATTTTCCTGTTGTTAGTAGTAGAGTTTTTTTTAAAAAGTTTTTTTTAGGGAAAAATAGAACGGGAACGTGATTACGGTTTTTGCGCTTGAAACTTTTTGTGAAAACAAAAAGGGGGAGGAATTTGGGGGGCGTGTGTGTATGACGAACGGTGGGCGTAATAAAAGAGGATTTTCTGCGGCCCGGCGCGCTTGACTAGGCCCGTGCTCCTGGCTGACGGCTATCCCACTGACGCAAGGGCCCCACCCCGCGCCGTTTTAACAGGGTCCGTGGCGAGCGAGCCGCTGCGCACACGAGTCACACAACGCAACACGGGAGCCAGCGCGAGAGGAAAAGCAGCGCAATTAAGGCCAGCCGCGCCTCCTCCTCGGGACGCGCGCGCTCTCGCGGGCGGGAGACAGAGCCGTCGCCGTTCGCCGTTCGTCGCTCGCCGCCGCCCGCCGCCGCCCGCCGCCCATGAGTGATGACGGGCCGTCTCGTTTCTCCGCCGTGTCGCGCCGCCGTCGCTCACCGCGTGCGCCCGCCTAATGCTGCAGGCCGAATCAGCCGGCGGGGGAGTCGTCGCGGCGGTCCATGAGCGCTGACGCCGCGGGCACCAACATCATCAGCAGAAGAAGAAGCAGGCTGGGCGACGAAGCCATGCCGACCCCGTCCTCCAACGCCCCCGACTCCTCGCCCTTCTCCAACGACGGCGGCGCCTCGCCGAGCGCCATCGACCGCATGCTCCGGGGCAGCGGCCGGCGCCACCACCTGCCCACGGCCGCGTCCCCCGACGCCATGGACACGGACGTCGTGGAGCCCGCCGCGGCCTCCCTCGCCGACTGCGGCGCCCAGTCGCGCCCCGAGGGCGGCCCGCACGCCAGCATGGACGACGCCGGCGGTGGCGGGTCGGGGGGCCACGCCCCGCGGCCGCCGCTCTCCGGTCCCCGCAGCGGGTTCCGCCGCCTCGGCCTCCGCGGCATGAAGCAGCGCCTCCTCGTCGTGGCCAACCGCCTCCCCGTCTCCGCTAATCGCCGCGGCGAGGATCAGTGGTCCCTGGAGATCAGCGCCGGTGGCCTCGTCAGCGCGCTCCTCGGTAATCCCTTCTCCTCAATGTCATGCGCCGGAGCGACGCATGCATCAGAATCCTGCACTAGTAGCTGCATGTACTGAATTTTTCTGAATTCGCAGGTGTGAAGGATGTCGACGCGAAGTGGATTGGCTGGGCCGGTGTGAACGTCCCCGACGAGGTCGGCCAGCAGGCTCTCACCAATGCACTCGCCGAGAAGGTTCGTTGCAATCCACAGAATCTAGAACATATTTGGTGTCAACTGAACCAATAGAACAGTGCTTTCTGTGTTTTTACCGCTCTAGTTCGTTCTAGTGACTGAAACCATATCTGTTTCTGCTGATCAAACAAAACAGAGATGCATACCAGTGTTCCTGGACGAGGAGATCGTGCACCAGTACTACAACGGCTACTGCAACAACATACTCTGGCCGCTCTTCCACTACCTGGGGCTGCCGCAGGAGGACAGGCTGGCAACCACGAGGAACTTCGAGTCGCAGTTCGACGCGTACAAGCGAGCCAACCAGATGTTTGCTGATGTCGTCTACGAGCACTACCAGGAAGGGGATGTCATCTGGTGCCATGACTACCACCTCATGTTCCTGCCCAGGTGCCTCAAGGAGCATGACATCAACATGAAGGTCGGGTGGTTCCTGCACACGCCGTTCCCTTCCTCGGAGATTTACCGCACCCTGCCATCACGCTCGGAGCTGCTTCGCTCCGTGCTCTGCGCTGATTTAGTCGGGTGAGCATGCATCTTGCTTTTTATAAGTAATGGTTTCTTTACAAGTTGTTCTTAGCTCTGACTGATTTTCTTCTTCAGATTTCATACATACGACTATGCAAGGCATTTCGTGAGCGCATGTACCAGGATACTCGGACTCGAGGGTACCCCTGAAGGTGTGGAGGACCAGGGAAAGTTAACACGGGTTGCAGCGGTACACATCAGAACTTTTATGTTAATTAGTTTGTTTATCCGACATGTTTGGGATCAGTGGCGGTGCTTCACTAGGGCCTCTCCTCGTTGTGAAATACCATTAGTTGTTAAGCTATTCATGATTTCACCTATTCCTACATCTCATTACGATGATTTATACAATATCCAATTTGTTATTTGGAAAATGGGTGATTCTTTTTACTCACGTGGCTGAAATCTTCAGTTTCCTATTGGGATAGACTCTGATCGTTTCAAAAGGGCGTTGGACATTGATGCAGCAAAAAGACATGTCAATGAATTGAAACAGCGATTTGCGGGACGGAAGGTGAGAAAACACTTGAAATTTCCAAACAGCTGATAGGATGCTGCTATTGTATTTTTGAAATTTCCAGATCTACCTGGCACATTTTAGCGGTTCTAACTCATAAATGCCACCTTGAAACCCACACTTCCATTTCTGTCCTGTTATTCTAATGTAGGACATTAGATCTTGACCTACAAACTTATAAACCATACTAATGATATCTTTTTGATTGACCTATCTTTCTTTTGTTGAAAATTCAATAATTTATCGACGTCTCTTGTAGTCTTACAGAGTATTTGTTCCTGGTTATTGTCATAGGTAATGCTTGGTGTTGATCGACTTGACATGATCAAAGGAATTCCCCAAAAGATTTTGGCCTTTGAAAAGTTTCTTGAGGAAAACCCTGAATGGATTGATAAAGTGGTTCTGCTTCAAATTGCTGTGCCAACTAGAACTGACGTCCCTGAGTGTAAGAACATTTCTGTATTTTGTTCTTGCCACTCAGCATATGTAGTGCATCATATGTTTGACATATGATTGTTCATACACATAGTTTTCAATTCGTCAGCTTGCTGTCTCTTTTTAAAATATCATTCCTCTTAAACAATATAGATTTGGTTGCAGTTCTTATAGCACTTCCTTGTTTCTTGAGCAGATCAGAAGCTTACAAGCCAAGTGCATGAAATTGTTGGGCGCATAAATGGACGATTTGGAACATTGTCTGCTGTTCCTATTCATCATCTGGTTAGCTTTTAAATAGCTCTTTGTGCTATCTTATGACCTAAATTCTTTGTGCTATCTTTTAAATAGCTCTTTGGCAAACTATTTCGTTTCATCTAAAATAATTTGCTCCTTGCAGGATCGATCTCTTGATTTCCATGCCTTGTGTGCTCTTTATGCAGTCACTGGTAATTCCTGGCAGCTCTCTTGATATTGAAAGTTGGACTTTATTAGCACTCTTTTGTTCAAAATATTAGTGCTTTTATCATGCTTGAGCTGTGCATTTCCTCTGTTTTGCTTAGATGTGGCTCTTGTAACATCACTGAGGGATGGCATGAATCTTGTAAGCTACGAATATGTTGCATGCCAGGGATCAAAAAAAGGAGTTTTGATATTGAGTGAGGTAAGTGATCAGCTATCGATTGGTTCCAAATTTAGTCTGTAAGGATATTCATATGTGTGTGTTTATATTTCCCGTTTCTTTTACACAGTCTCCTGAAAACATATTTGATTTTGGTTCATAAGTTCTGCCATTGCAATTTCAGTTTGCCGGTGCAGCACAATCGCTTGGTGCTGGTGCCATTCTTGTAAATCCCTGGAATATTACAGAAGTTGCAGACTCAATAAAACATGCTTTAACAATGACATCTGATGAGAGAGAGAAGCGGCACAGGCATAACTACGCGCATGTAACAACTCATACCGCCCAAGATTGGGCTGAAACTTTTGTATGGTGAGGAGCTCGTTTCCACTTCGTCTCATTTGTACTTTTATTACTAGTGGATTAAATGTTTCTTTTTCATCGTCAATATAAATTTGTTAGCTGCTCCCAGACTTTCTTGTAACCACACTGTGTCTTTTCATGTAGTGAGCTAAACGATACAGTTGCTGAAGCTCTGATGAGAACAAGACAAGTTCCTCCTGACCTTCCTAATCGAACGGCCATCCAGCAATATCTGCAGTCAAAAAATCGTTTGCTCATATTGGTAAATACCATATTTTTTCTTTTCTATTGATATTTGTTGCGAAGTTGTTTATACTGGCCATCACTGGGGTTTTATAATGCAAAAAACTGCTTGTTTACTCTTCTCAGTAACTTCTCCATATGTTGAAATGTTACACATTAGTTCATTTATTTCCCTTGCATTTTAAACTAAATGAATGGCATCTGCAAATATGTATAGTTTTTCCTTCTTAGTACAATGAACTTAGCACTCAAACAACATGACCTTACAATTTCTGTTTGTTGCACCGATGACTGAATATAGGGTTTCAATTCAACATTGACCGAGCCAGTTGAATCCTCTGGGAGAAGGGGCGGTGATCAAATCAAGGAGATGGAACTCAAGTTGCATCCCGACTTAAAGGGTCCTTTGAGAGCCCTCTGCGAGGACGAGAGCACTACGGTTATCGTTCTCAGCGGAAGCGACAGGAGTGTTCTTGATGAAGTAATACTACTACTCCTCCTGTCATTTTGTGATTTGTAATTGCTTTATCTGTTAGTATTAAAATCAACATATCCTCTCCCCTTTGCAGAATTTCGGAGAATTTAACTTGTGGCTGGCAGCAGAGCATGGGATGTTCTTACGCCCAACTGATGGAGAATGGATGACAACAATGCCTGAGCACCTGAACATGGATTGGGTCGACAGTGTAAAGGTACGTCTGTTTGATGAGCAATGTCCAGCCGTAACCCCTTAATGTATACCTTCTCACACCATTTACTCTTTTTCAGCATGTTTTTGAGTACTTCACAGAAAGAACCCCAAGATCTCATTTTGAACATCGCGAAACATCATTTGTGTGGAACTACAAGTATGCCGGTAAGTGATCAGGTCTTCATGCACAGTTTTTGTTCATGTTGTGAATAACAAAAATATCCAATACCATTTGCACTTGCCTGTTGTGAAGATGTTGAGTTTGGGAGGCTCCAAGCAAGGGATATGCTGCAGCACTTGTGGACCGGTCCAATCTCAAATGCAGCTGTGGATGTTGTTCAAGGGAGCCGGTCGGTTGAAGTTCGCTCTGTTGGAGTTACAAAGGTCAGTTAGGCAGTGCGATTTTTAAACATGGTGAAAGCTTGTCATGTTATTTAGCTAACTGATGTTTTACCAATTATTCATTTCCGTTCTGTAGGGTGCTGCAATTGATCGTATTCTAGGAGAGATAGTTCACAGCAAAAGCATGGTCACTCCGATTGACTATGTACTATGTATAGGACACTTCCTAGGAAAGGTAATTCTGCACTGACTTCATGTTCTTGCATTCCTTTCTAGTTCACTCTTCAATGTGTGTGATAGTAGGAAAAATGTGAAATTTTATCTTTTCAGGACGAGGACATCTATGTGTTTTTCGACCCTGAATACCCTTCTGAACCAAAAGTGAAACCGGACGGTGCCTCGGTATCCGTGGACAGGAGGCAGAACGGGCGGCCATCCAACGGCCGGAGCAACTCGAGGAACTCGCAGGCGAGGACACAGAAGCCTCAGGTCGCGGCGCCGCCTCCGGAGAGGTCATCGTCGTCGTCCGACCACAGCACCGCAAACAACAACAGCCACCATGACTGGCGCGAAGGGTCCTCGGTGCTGGACCTCAACGGCGACAACTACTTCTCCTGCGCCGTCGGGAGGAAGCGCTCCAACGCCCGTTACCTGCTCAACTCGTCGGAGGACGTCGTCTCCTTCCTCAAGGAGATGGCCGAGTCGACGACGCCTCGCGCCGGTGGCCTCCCGCCCGGCGCCGCCGCGGATTACATGTTCTTGGATAGGCAGTAGACTCTACTAATCAGCAATCACCCGGCCGCCCCGCCCCGCCCCGCCGGAGAAGAAGAGTTAACAACAGCCCTGAATAACATTGGTGTTCGCCGGAGCAGCCGCCGTGGCTGGCCCGGCGCGGCGTGGTGTACAATCCTGTACAAAGTATGACTGAGCCCCTGGTATTACTGTTACTGCGAGAGGTCTCGCAGCAAACGGAACGGGGAGGAGACTTTGACACTCTGTGACTGTGAGTGATCCCGAGGAGAGTTTGTGTTAGGCGGAAATTGATGGATATTTGTTATTATGTGATGTGATGACTAATCTCAGTATTGACGGTCTATCGCTGGTTTCTGGAAGCTCTGCACTTATGCTCTTGACTTTTTCGTTCGACTGGCTTCGGATTCTGTCGTTTCTCACACTAAAATCTTGGTTCATGATCCAATTACACTGTGGCCACGCAGGTAAGCATGGCAACTTGAAACTGCATTTGCGTAGTTATTTGACCCTATCCCCCCTGAAAATCTAAACTAATCTAGAGTGATGTGAGACTGAAGGGTTAGGTACAGCTAGCTCCTGACGGAATCTAACTGCATATAAGCAGGCAAATAAAACTTCTATAGTAAGGCGTGAGCCGTGGCCATCCTGGGAGGGAGGATGACTTGCTGTGTGGGGCTCCCTAACCGCACCCCTTGTCTGCGTTACCCGGTCAAGCATCATGAGGTCGCGAATGATTGGTTGCCCACCGGATTAACCCAATCTGCCATTTCTTATGCGCTTGCAACCGTCACTCCATCACCAATATTTTTTAGTATTCTCCATCCCTCTCTTGCAATCAAGCTCTCTCCTGTCCTAGAAGCAGATAACGATGTATATTTCTGCAAAAATCGCTGTCACTGACATGTAGTATGACATGTCAGTTTTGTTTCTTTCACAAGTATCGCGTAGTTTCATTTTGAATATGACTCGGCATTTCGTGGCCAACACAGACCAGCACGTATTAGTCGATAATTAAAAGGCGGCATTGAACGCCATGAGGCGTCACGTACGTATGCATAATCTGTCATTTTGCGGAGCGCTGCGCAGCTAACCAAATTTAATCGCGGCCAGGAGTGCCCCCTACGTCACGTCATCACACACGGCGATGCGACGCGCTTCTCTCTTGCGGCAAGGCGCGCGCAACCCTTACAAGAATGGCTTGCCTGGCTGCTCTCGGAAATAGATACCTGGCCCATGGAGGAGCTCCAGGAGGCCGACGTGCTGTGGCCCGACACGCCGCCGCCGTCGCGGGACCGCCAGAGCCGCCTGCCGGAGCTGCTGGACGCGGCCGCTGTCGAGTTCTCGTGCGAGTCGTTCGGCAGCGACGACGACGGCCCCGCGGCGTCCTCGTCGATGAGCTCGACGTCCTCGTCGACGAGCGTGCTGCCGTTTGGTGGTGGGTCCTCCGGTGGCTTCCTCTCCTACCCTTCCGCCTTCGCCGGCGGGCATGGCGGCGGTGATGACATGGCGGAGGAGTTCCAGGAGGCGGACGTGCTGTGGCCGAACGACGGCTACGCGACGGGGGAGCGCGCCGGCGCCGACGGAGGGGAACTCTGGTGGCTTTGCTGCGGCTTCGGTGGTGACGCGGCCGGCTACCACCGCGCGGAGCCTGCAGCTGGAGGTCAACGTCAAGCGTGGAGACCTCCGGTGTCGTCTCCGATTGATATCCCTACCGGAGTTGCCACCGCCGCCGCTCGCCGTTGGCGCGCGGGGACCTTGCTGGTGCACCGTCGATCCATAGGCACGGATTAAGCTCGGCTAGTTGATGCTTTTGTTTCATTTCTTCACCATTTTCGTTGGAAAATGGGGTGTTGTTGATCGTGATCAAATTTTCTTGTAGTATATATAACTACGAATTACAGGCGAGAGGTGTTAGAAATCAGGAGCGCGAGTGTAGTAGTGAGGAAAAGATATTATTGGTGATATTTTTGCCTATCGAAATGATAGTATGAGGATTTTTTTTAGGCAAGATAGTATGAGGAAGGCAAAAATATATATTGGCAATGTGATTGTGATGGTACGTAGGGAATGTGGTCTTTTCCTCCTGGGTTGCACGTGCACTGTGCACGAACTCTCAAAGCGCACCAAATCCACGGATACTTTCCGCTGGGTTTGGCGGTCGATCCGCTGACCTTTTCGCGTCTCGATCGTTTTCCCTGATGAGCAGAGACGACGACCTGCAAGCTGCAATGCAAGTTGCAGTGCCAACGAACTGCCAGGGCATAGCTGATCACTTAGGCATGAGAACTGCGAGGGTATATCTATATCTTCTTGGAAGCCCCTCCTTTCGAACACGTAAATAAAACTTAAGAAGTGTATATATATGGGGCTCCGCATGGCTGTTGGCGCACACAATCCATCAGATGAAGAGCACTATTGTACAATATTTCTCTGCATATTTTCCAAGCTGGAGCACATGGCAGAGATCCAAGGGCATCACATTTGCTGTCTATTTTCATTATAGTAATAGATTGATTATGAACAAGTTAACCGAAACATAATTTAGCATCCATAAAATGAGTTGACTATAGTTATTTATCCTAAACCATGCCGCTGCAACAGTAGAGCCGCCCTGCTCAACGAATGCACGCCAGCCAGTTTTTTGCTTCCGTCTTCTCTCACATGCACAACATGCGCATGCACAATAGTCAATCCACTTTTAGTTGCACTTTTATTGTACACAGTTTCATTTTTCCGTTATGCACTCAAGCCACATATTTAATCAACTCGGCAGCATCCCAGTACAGTACCACCGACGGGTCGCTGACATCAATCTTTGGTTTTGTTATCTTGTAAAGTTTGGGAACCAAGTAATGACCGGGACACGATAGGAATATCCAAATTACTTGCTCCAACATTGCCTTATCACACCTACGTACGCCTCAAGTCAGGTCCACTCTGCTGACAAACCAGAGGACGGAGGCAGTATCCAGTGGACAAAGTGGTTAATTATAAATGTTTTGCTCTTTCCTGGTTGCCCTGATTTAATGGAAACTCGGTCGTTACTTCAAATTATGCATTAACAAGTCAAAGATTGAAGTTAACTTTATAAAAAGTTGGTAACATTTGGAGGGGCGAAGACGAGGATGTTGATCCAACTGATTGAGATTTGCAAAGCAAAATTGTAGCACAACCGTCTTCAGTTAATAACAATAGTAAGTTATTTTATGCATCATGACCACTACATATAGTTTTGTTGAAAAGTGAAAATAAGTGGAATTGAAAACCTCATAAAATGCAGTGAAAGACATCCAAAAAAGAATGCAGAAGTAAATGTCCTTCATAAATCCTAAACTATTTATCATGGCATCTTTTATGTAAGGAGAACCTCTGTAATTTTTCAAGAAGTTTGGATGGATATAACTTTAACTAATGAATCATTACCCACCAAATGCAAGAAAATAATTGATAAATTGGTTTCCCCCGATTTCATTCAACAAAAACCAACCGATGTATTCTCCACAACACACCCAACAAACAAACGAAAGAGCACAACCGTTCATCAAAGGCTAGAAACACCGCGGGGGGCAACATCCCCATGCCAACATTGGCAAAAGCCAAAAGAGCGATCAAAGACTAGCAAAAGCTAAAAATTTACCCCCTCGAAAAATCATTCTAAAGAAGCAAAACAGAAAATAGAAAACAAAACAAGTGTAACATCTTTAGGGTTCAATCTTTTCATCTTTCTTTTTCCTAGCATCAAGGCATCGGCAAAGTAGGAGCAATTCCTCCGGTTCATAGGTCAGCCTCCTGATCCAATGCTTCCATCTTCCTCTCACCGAGAACACCTCACCCACGGCTCGAGCCAGTAATATTTTGCAATGCTACAGTTCCAACTTTGCGGCCTCCTTCACCTGCAAAGAGCCCTATAGATCAATCCAGTAGCAGATACAATAGATGACATCACAAGGTTCATTAGGGAATTGGTTTCGAAAGCACTCTTGGTTTCTAGTATTTAAAATACCCACACATGACTCCAATAACTACAACCATGAGGTCTCTAGTTCTTCTCCCCATAGCCCCCGGCCAACCAGTGATACAATCTAAAACATTAGTAAAGTTGCAGTTAAACCAATTACATGACTCACCACTTCCAGATGTATCTAGCTAGAGGGCAATCAAAGAGGAGATGAGCTCTTGCCTCATCAGCTCCACAAAACAAACAATGCTAGGGGCACACCCCTCTCCTTCTAATAAGCACATCCCTACTTAAGGTACCCCAATCAGATGCATGTTTTGACCCTCAGAGGGGATTTCATTTTCCATAGAATCTATAGGGAAAAAAATCTCATAGTTATGTATAACATAGTAAGGGGAGCTAACAGAGAATTGCCTAGAAGTGGTAACGAGACAGATTAGTTTGTCACTATCATTACTCAAAGACACATCAAAACATTTTTACTTAGCATATCGCACTGATCCTTCCTACCACCTACCATAGCTGTACGAAAATTTAGGTTATCCACACCCCCTGCAAAAAACCTCATGCACCGTGATGTTTTGATCTAACATTATGGAATAGAGCCTAGGAAGCATAAGGCAAAGTTGCTATGTCCATTCCATTGCTCCTCCCACAACCTGGTTTTCTTACCATCACCAATCTGGATTCTATAAAAACTCCAAAAAAAATAATCTTCACCACCATTAAGCCTTGCTAGAAATGGTTTTCTCCAAGCCTAGGGTCCACCTGGTCTGTAGTCTCATGGGGTAAAAAAAATCTAAGGCTGTCTTGCCGGAGCCTATCACTACTAAAAAGTGACACCTGGCAAGTAAGGTTGAATTCATAACCCGCAAGTTAAGTATTGATGTCTACTATGCAACTTTTATTCTTGTAGACTCTGTTGGGCCTTCAATCGTAGAGTTTTATAGGACAACAACAAATTTCTCTCAAGTGGATGACCTAAGGCTTATCAATAAGTGGGAGGTGTAGGATAAAGATTGTCTCTCTCAAATAACCCTGCAATCAAATACAATCAATCTAT